CCCTTGCCTTTCCTTTTGGAGACAGGGTTTCACTATGTAGTACAGGCTGGCCTTGAACTGCAGCAATCCTCCTGCCTCAGCCTCCTGAGGGCTGGGATTACAGGTGTGTCACCATGCCCAGACAACTTTATTTTTTAAGTTCCATATTAATTTGTTTTTGTCGGGGATCTACCCGCTCGGGCCCCCCTCCTTTCCCTCTCTCGGACAGGAGCTTTCTTTCACCCATAACATATATTCTGCTCATAACCTCCGTTTGTTCCTAAAATTCATGCTTCGGTTTTAGAGAACATGAACTTGTGCAGGTCACGTCCAGAGATCGTTTCTCCCTGTGTCACTTGGAGGTTCCCTGTATCATATGGAGGTCACTCACCCGAGGTCAGTGTTTCTCCCTGTATCACTTTGGAGCTTTCCACCGAGATCACTGGACAGAGGTATGAGTGTGCTTTTCTTTCTTTCTTTCTTTTTTTGAGTGTGCTTTTCTTTCATAAATTCTGAATTGGGACTTGCTTAGGTAACAAATTTTTATGCTTCAAATGTTAATACCAAAGTTTTGTCCCACTTCCTGCCCACCTAAGCAAGTTCCCATGTCTTCTCTCTGCCTTAGCCTCGCATGCTTTTACACTATAAAAGTCCCTGGAAGAGACAGCTTCCTGGGGGACAACCTGCTCGGTCCCCCCTCCTGTTCCTCTCTTGGACAGGAGCTTTCTTTCTCTCAATAAATATATTCTGCTCATAAAAAAAAAAAAACACATTAATTTGTTTTTGTTTTTTGAGACAGGGTCTCACTATGTAGTTTAGGCTGACCTTGAATGAACTATGTAGCCCAAGCTACCTTCAAACTTTTGCTCTTGCCTTAGCCTCTGTGTACTGGGATTACAGGTATGTACCATCACACCTGGCAAAGTCCCATATTATTTTATTTTTTGTGCAGGGTCTCACTATACAGCTCAGAGTTGTAGTGATCCCATATTATTTTAGAAGGATTTGTTATAGATGGGAAGTGGCACATGCCTGTAATCCTGGCTACTCAGGAAGCTGATGCAGGAGGATAGCAAAATCAAAGTCAGCAGGGGCAACTTAGCAGGACCCTGTTTAAAAACAAAGTAAGGAAAGGGCTGAGGGATAGCTCAGTGGTAGAACCCTTGCCTATCATGTACAAAGCCTTGGGCTCAATTCCAAACTGCAAAAAAGGATTTATTGCCTGTAATTGCAAAAGTCAATATATTTTTTTTAAAAAACCAAAAACTTTACCAAGCAATATTTTTCTAATAATTACTGCCTCACTGCCATATTATTGTTTTTGCAGCACATAAAATAACAATTATCGAAAAACAAATTTCAGGGAAAAATTATGCACCTCTTTATTTTTATTTCTTTCACTAATACAAGAAAACACAGCACTTACCACTGAAGCAACCTGTCTCCCTGTGTTTCACAAAATGCCTGGAAGCCAGGAAAACTTCGGTAAAAGTCATACTCGTCACCGAACTGTGGTAGGCCCCCAGATGCCTTGGTGACTGCTACCACCGACCCAAGAGCAAACTGTCAAAACCAAGAAAAGATGGCACATTTTAAACCCAGATCTTCATTTGGTAAATCACTGTTTTGAAGACCCTCTCGACCTGGTGTACAGCGTATGCAGTGCTGGGCAGTAAGGCACTCAGCACTCACCTACCCAGCACAGTTCAGTCCCTGTGACTCAACCCCAACCCCTTTCCCAACCCTGAGGATTCAATGGTGAGCACAAAATCAAGCTTGGGGTTTACATCCTTGGGACAGTGAGGACAGAGAAAACTACGTACAGTCCTGTGTCCCTCAACAATTAGCATGCGTTCTGAGAAACGCAGCATGAAGTGGCTTTAAAATCCTGTGAACACAGAGGGTACACAAACTAAAATGGCTATGACATCATTGGCCACATCACCTGGTGGGACCCCATCTTGGATGTGGCTTAACGTCATTATGCAATGCGTGACTATATACTGTGACTGACAGTTACAATGACTTGAATTCAGGTGTTGGCTCTGCTACTCATGAACTCAAGACTCTGCGGTGCTGGGATGAAACCTGGGGCCTCGTGCATGCGAGGCGGTAATCCACCAACAGAGCTACATCCCCAGTCTTGTACTGACATTTTCCGCAAGCTATTTCGTTTATTTGAACTTTCATTCCGTCTCAGAAAAAAGGCCACATGGGGCTGGAGAGATGGCTCAGTGGTCTAAGGC